CATGTTGCTATCGACTCTGGTCCACGCCCAACCAGTCGGATAAAGGGAAGACTGAGTCGGTTGATTGCAACTGATCCTATCCGCGAACCCCTTGATATAAGGCCAGGCCAGTAGCCAATGCTAATACAAAGCTGTCTGGGTTATTTTATGTAGGGTCACACCTAAGCGTAGTCCACAGCGACCCATTAGGATCTTTATTCTCCCTTTTTTATTCCCTATCATTCAAATCCTATCCATTAGTTAAGTGAATTAAGCGTCTGAGTGAAAGCCACCTAATAGTCTTCTGATGCCGGATATGCTGACCCAAGCAGACCCATCCTTACAGTATTAAGTGTTTCATGGACTCTACATTGTATTCCACATGCTCGAGAGCTTCTGTTGTTAGGCCCATTTTGTGGGACATGTGATTCGTTCCATAATGCCCAGTTTGCGTACCTGTAATTACTTGGGCATACCTTTGAAAAGTTTTCTTCATGACCCTGTATTTCCCTTTAGGAATGATTTGGAGGCTTATATCGTTGGAGCTTTCCCATTCAGCCCTGTTATTCTTGGATATGGCCATATTATGGCCATGACGTACCTAAGCTTTTAGATAAAGGTACTATCAGTTCTAACCCAATAGTTATCGTCTGTGACCCTTGTCTCGCTAGACTGTCGGCTCTCTCATTGCATTCGATCCTTGTATGTCCAGGTATCCCACATTAGAGACACTTTGTCATGCCTTCAGAGTTTGTTCATCTTTAAGATTGCATCTAGAATACCTAATTCTAGACTCAACCTTCACTGAGGCGATGGCTTTGTTTGAGTGCTGCCTGGCTGTGGCTAAGGATGTAAATATTGCGTTTCTTACACCCCTGTTTTTAGTGCACACATAATTATAGCGTAGAATTCAGCTTAATACTGTAGCAAACCTCCTTAAACGTTCACTGTGTTTATTACTACATGATTGACTATGAACGAGTGCTGTAAGTGCCCACCAACCTAGGCAGTTTTGTATCAGTATATCAAGGTCAGTAATTATGTCCTTATGACTTTTTCAAATTATTTAAAATTTAGTTGGTTCAAGGGGTTCGCGTATAGGGTCAGTTGCAAGCAGCCGACTTAGTCTTCCCTTTACCCGACTGGTTGGGGGTGGACCAGAATCGATAGCAACATGGAGCCTACATGGACCAATTGCCCGTAGCTTCCGAAGCTTGCCTGGAAAGAAGTAGTGCAGAAGCTGGTGCTGTCTGAAAAAACAACTATAATGGTCACAGCCGTAGCCTTTGTGCTAAAAATAATCTTCCGTACTTTGATAATATTATCAATACTCTCTTTTCTCACACTTACCTTTCTGTTATCACTGGTACAATAGTATGTAGAAATAAAAATGTTAATTAAAATAATAATAATAATCATTAGATGTTTAGACAAATTCAAGTTCTTTATTTAGTGCTTTCTTCTTATGATATTTTCAATAATACAATGTATTTAAACTATTTTCAACCTTATGTCTTACACATAGAGTTCAAAATTAATTGAAGAAAAAATACAAATCATGGTAGCATGATGTGCCAGGAACTCTAAATAAATTCTAAAATAATAATCTTTACTTGCTTATCAACCAAATAGTATGAATTCATGGATAAAATAAATATTTTTTTCCGACGCGCATTAAAATTCGCCCGCTGTGTCCTGAAGAAAAATTTTTTTCACCTACTGATTTCAAAAAAAGTACCATACAATGGTATATATTTATAATCCTGATAAATGTAGCTTCCAGGACATATTTTTTTTTATTAGATTATCTCCAGTGGTTTAAAAGTAAACGACGTTTATTTAAAAAAGTACTTTTTGGTTTTTGTGAATTTTACTCCATATTTCTATTTATTTGTATGAAAAGGCAAAAAGTTTGTTCTAGAAATGAATTCACCATCCTTTAATTATCCGAAAATGACACCACACTTGCCCTAATACCCATAGTTTTGAAGATATGGGCCTTAAAGTGAAGCGCGGCAGAAGGAAACTTTCCCCCCCTCCCCCTGCTACCACAGGGGGGGCTCCCGATGTCTACCGACGGAAATCTACTCAAGAGCACCCAAAGAACAACTGGTGTAAAAATGAGCCTTCTATACCAAAGTGGAGGGGTCTCCATACAAATCATTGCACTAAATTCCCTACCAGAAGCAATTCAGGCCATTTTCGACCCCCTGTATCTTCGTTGTGGATAAAACTAGAAGACTGAATTTTCAGTAACCATGCAGGCATTGTAAAGACACGGTATATTTCAAATTTCATTCAATTTGAACTAGTAGTTTAAGAATTATAGCGGGTCAAAGTTTCTTAATTTTGTCACTCACTGACTGACTGACTGACTCACCGATCATCAAAATTCTAAGGCACTTCTAGCAGACCTAGAAGCTTCAAATTTGGAATATAAGTAGTGTTTGGTGTATGAATCAAGGAAAAACTAAAATATTTGGGGGCACGGTAGTGCAACCGCTAAGTCTAGCAAAATTTTTCAATTTCGGTCCAGTTTTTTTATAAATTTTTTTTTTTTTTTTTTTTTAATTTATTGTCTCATAAAAGTTACATCGATTTTACTTAATACTAATCTGCCAAACTGCTTAACAGTTTGTCGGCAGTCGTTCTCGTGCTAACTATTATAAATATTTAACTACTTACCTAAATAAGTTTGTAATACCATATAAAATTAAATATAAAGGCAGACGGTAGTGTTCCCGCCAAGTCGAGTAACATTTTTCAATTTCGGTCCAGTTTTCAGCTCAAGAAGTAGAACCGGAAAAGAGAAAACGGAAGGCTACCTACAAAAATAAGAAAAAATCATAAGTCAAAGAGAGGACTTTAAGAAAATTCGTTGCTGGTTAGATAAACATAAATACAATAAGTAGAAGGTACCGAAAAGGAAAAAGTAGAACTGTTTACAAAATACAAAAAGAAATAAGATCCTATCAAAAACAATACTTGTCAAAAAAACCAAGTCTCGCAACTCAGTTGTTCTACGGTAAAAAGTTGTGAGATCCATGTAGTCCAGGCCAGGAAATCTTCAACGTTTTACATAAATATATTGACTTGTTCATCGCATGAAAATACGTGTAAATTAAATTATTTAGTGCGATGTCCAAGTCAATAATTTATGTAAAACGTTAAAGATTTCCTGGCCTGGACTTGGTATTACATGGATCTCACAACTTTTTACCGTAGAACAACTGAGTTGCGAGACTTGTTTTTTTTGACAAGTATTGTTTTTGATGGGATAATAATGTAGACGTACTTACAACTAACTCTTAAATATTTCTCATTGTTGCATTGTGAATTTTCTGACTCGTATTACAATAGTGTATTGACTGTCGTATCACAAACGCGTTCTTGTAGTATTTTAAGAGTAGCTTAGCAAACTAAACAGTAACACTGTTCTAAATAGTAGCATTGTTTTGTGGTATTGTTTAGTAACGCACTCGCATGTACGAGTTACATAATTACCTATTATATTCTCAGCAGCTTTATTTATTTTATTGGAACTACGTGCGCTTGTAGCATTTAACACAATCTAATCAGTAAGAAAATTCAAATTATGTCTAAAATGGAGCACTGGGATATCACATTAAGTTTTTTTCCGCGTTTTGTTTAAATAATTAAATGAATAAATCTTGTTATAGGAGAGTGTGACCCACCCATGTATCTATTGAGATTTTTATTTCCTTGCAGTTCCTGTCTAATAAAAATGTACAGTCAGTATCAAATAGTTTGTGACACACAAAGTAGCCAAAAAGTTCACAACCACAACACGTCTTTGTTACAATTGGAATAAGATTGTGTTGTCAAGTTTTTGGCCACTTTGGGTGTCATGAACTATTTGACGTTGATTGTACAAGAAAATCTTTTCATTCATATCAACAGAATACTAAACTTGCAATTAATTTGTGAATAATATTTCACAAATTAATTTATGTTACTACTTACTATTTCTTATAATTAATGTCTGCGTGCATTAATTATAAGAAATAGTGCAATAAACACAAATTAAAACTGAATTAAAAAATAAAAATTGATTCGTGGATCCGCGCGATAACCTGAAACAAAAAACAAATGACAAGCGTAATTAGTCGAAAACATGCCGTTTATTAGTGTATTCGGGTAATTTCGGAAATAAACACGGCCTTACAAGAGGCTAATTTGTGCCGAAATTAAAATTATTAATGATTTTTCTTTTTGCTAACTTCGTGGTTCTCTTTCACGATATTATTTTCATTAAAAAAAATAACTTAGGTAATAAAAATAATTTCTAATTAAACTGATACACGACGATTATCAAATTTCATTATTTTCTGAAATATATTAGGAAGCTAAGAATATACTGAATGAGGATGTAAAAATATAAGGAATAGGCTTCTTCAACCGGCGCGATCGCATTTATTTTATCACAAATATAAATTGTATTATAATTGGATTTTTTGTTTACAAGTGCTTAATATTAACTATATTTCATGTTATTTATTCATTTACGGCATTCAATAGTGATGTTCTATTTCAAAAAATAATTATCCCGCGTTCCCGGGGACTGAGACGTCTCCGCGGATTAGTAAAGAAGATCTCTAGGGTTATTTACTTATATTGTTTAGTAAAATGATCAGTTATTCAATAACACAATCAAAAAATACGATTGCTGTTATATGTATTTTTCCCATTGTTTTCCCAAGCATAAACAAACAATCGCCTATAAGAAAGCCGTCTGATATGTCACCGTGCCGCATCATTTTGCACGCACGCGTACTCTGGCCTTGACATTACAAAAGCGACTTTAATCTGATCGGCAATAAGTTCAAATAGCTTATGCATTAATGAGAGCAGACACTTCGCTGGAGCTGTCATGCCGTGGTACGTCATCATCTGCATGTGGGTTTCAGTCAATGAGAATTCAGACTTTAGGCTGTTGGTGTTAGGGGTTGTTTTTACTTGTATTGGGCGGCAGACGTCGGGCGGGCGCGGGGTATCGACCGGCCGCCTGTCAGACGCGAGTTGGCGCGCGTCGGCGATGCACACGACTCGCCGCCGCGAAAAAATGACCATCACCACGCCGCCACCGAAATGGGTTGGCGACAAGTGTCAAAACTACAAAAGACTGTGCTCATAGTGCTCTTTTATTTGACAATATACCTGTGGATATCCTACGTCACGACCCCCTCAACGACCATGACATTCGTGAGTGAAGATTTAAGGATGGAGGCTAAATACGTGCTGATTTTTATCGTGGCGCCTCTCGTGCCCGTCTTCTCGGACGCGGACGGCGCAAACGTCTTCAAGAACAAAAACTGCGGCAAATGTTTCGTGACTAACAACAGAGGCTTCCTCCCTATGAGCGAGTACGATGCCATCCTTGTGTACGGCGAGCGCAGCCTCCTCACCGAGACTGCGGCATTCATGGACCCCGGCAAACGATACCTGTTAGAAACCACTAAGAAATGTATAGGTAGTAAGTTTAAGAAGTGCGTCCAGGAGCCGAGAATAACCTCATTTAGCAGTAAGGAAAGCTACGACTTGTGCAGTCTGTGTGCGTACCTCCGTAAAAGCCTTTAACGACCAGGAAACACATGTGATAATAGTTGTTAGACGAGTATGCCTTGCTAGGGTAAGAGATTGTACCTGCGATGATAAGGCCTGCCAAATGTTGATATGTATGTTCTATGTTATTAATGGTTATTGTGAAATTGGTGCTTAGCTCTTTGTAATTGTTGTTTTTGCGTTCTGATCAAGCATTTTGTGCATTTGTTGCAAATCTACCAAAGCACTGAAGATTATATGAAAGTACAATTGTGTTTTAATGAATGCCTTATTAAGTTGTGTACTTAAAGTCACAATTTTGTGATAAGTATATTTTAATATAGATGTAAATAAAATTGATTTAAAAGTCTACTTTTGTTTTTTTGTGTCCCATGTTACACTTCGATTGAGGAAAATGGCAGTTGCATTAATGCCTATATGGCATTTATGGTACCTACATATACCTACTGCACGACTAATAATAATGTAGGTATTGAACAATTATTTGCATTGTTTACTTTGTGCCTAGTTCTTTTCTTTAGAATTTCTTCTTGAAATATTTTGCATTACTTTCCATCTAATAGGAAAAGTTTTCATGTCCTTGATGTTATTATTTATATCGACATAACCATCAAAAATTAAGTTACGTTTTGGGTTTGCTTTGATGTTTCAGTGTTGTGTAAAGAATTTTTTTCAGTAATTTCAAAACCGTTTAATTTATAATAGTTTATATCTCCTGTCTGTTACACAGCATGAATACTGGTAAACACTAAAACTTTTTTTTTATAAATAGCATATCAGTCTCATTTTTAAAACACTTATGAAACTTATCTTGTATCTACTTACCTACTGAAAATGTTTGTATTCAAACACAAATGTTTGTCATTCAATTTCAATATGAGCCGTTAGCTGACGACAAATAGTACAAGTAAAGAGCAATGACATCGCGGTGTTAATAATGTAGAAGTTTCATTGTGGCCAGAAAATTATTGAAAAAGAAAAACAGTTAATATTAATTTACAAATATTCAATTAGTGTCCTGGAATTCCCAACCACCACTATTAAGAGGTTTTCTAACCATCCAAACAGTTCTGGGACAAAAAATATTTTGAAAGATTATTCGTCACCGAAGACATTGTTTCTATTCATGGCACTTAACGCGTCCCAGATTTGCCGCACCCTCGCGACACTGAACGACCTATTGGTGACGAGAAGTGGTGCAAAGTTCAGTCACTCGTCAGCCTTTTGATACTATGTCCATTTATGGCAATTTTAGGGGTATTGGTTCGACTTACTCTGAAATGGACCTACACACTAATGAAGAATTTGAAGTTGAAGTCACCGGCTACCTGGCCAAGACATCAGCAGCCTGAAATAAGGCCCGCGCTTCGTCCTAATCCTTTTTGAGTGTAAGATTTAAGCTTAAAAACCAGTAAAGTTAAAAACCTATAAACTTTAAATATACCTACTTATTTCTTGGAAAATCAAAATGCTTAGTCACATACTATAATAAACATATTTCAAAAAAATTTTGAATGATTCACCCATGTAAAACCGAGGATCATTCATAGTACAGCCGGTTTTAACCCCGGAAAATCCCGTTATTGACGTCCCCACTCTAAAATAATAATATTTTATTAGTTTTATTTACTTTTATTATTAACTTTAAATACTACTTTCTACGCGTATCTCTGACGCTCTATCTCTTTTTTTAAATGATGACTTATGGTTTGTCATAAAATGTATTTACTTTCACTTAGATAACGTCCAAATAGGCAACTTTTTTAATTATTAGCCCGACCACTGCACGCCAAAATTGACTGCCGGAACTTGACACAAAATTATTTTTCTAATATAAAATATGATTAGTCTCATGGGAATCGAACCCAGAACCTCGAGGATCGTTAGAGTAGGTACAAATCTCAGTTACTGGACCATGAAGGCGTAATTTTTATTAACCTTAACTGGTAACATGGTTTTTGTGTAACGTAACTGGTGACGTGCGGTCTGAGAGGCCGTTACCGTATCAAGACTGTAGCATAGAAACTAGGTAAGGTAGCATACCACAATCTTAAAAAAAAAATTATTAGCACATAGATGAATTAAATTAAAATAAAATAATAAACTCTAAATATCATTTTAATGCAGAACTTGCTGTTAAATTATATGTAGTAATAAAAATAAAAAAACTAGAGATGAGATCGATAATCGCAAACAAAGAAATTTAAATCAACAAATTATAACAAAATTGGTATTTTTTATTATCCCAACTAATATTATAAATGCGAAAGTAGGTAACTCTGTCTGTCTGTCTGTCTGTTACGCTTTCCCGCTTAAACCTCGCAACCGATTTTGATGAAATTTGGCATAGAGATAGTTTGAGTCCCGGGAAAGAACATAGGATAGTTTTTATCCCGGTTTTTGAAACAGGGACGCGCGCGATAAAGTTTTTCTGTGACAGACAAAATTCCACGCGGGCGAAGCCGCGGGCGGAAAGCTAGTAGTTCAAATAATAATCAATTTAAAAAAATCTTTCACACGTAGGTAACCTATCATTTTAGGAAACTGGCAGTGGTGAAACTTTTGTATTTTTTATTGGCTATCAGGGCATTTATTGTTTGGCATAAAGGTGGACCGTCATTTTCACTTTCTGACTGATTCTCGTCAATTGGTCCTTCATCTTCAAAAACACTTTCTTCGGCTTCCGAATCATGGTCCCGAATCTTTGCTCCAGAACGATGTTTTCAGGAAAATATTCGGCTTCCGACCCAATTGAGTCTTCCTTTTCCAGATATTTTTCAACTAGCGAATTTTCAAGTCGTTTCATAAAGTATGGCACTATATTCCCAACTAATGATCCTACGCTTCTTTTTTGGAGTTATTTATATATCAATTGCAAGTAAAAACTGTAAAAATACGAAAAAACTGTATGAAAAAAATGTCACGTAACTGGTGACATGCGGTCTGAGAGACCGCTGCTGAACTTTACATCGATGTAACTTGCCGATTTGGAGCTGAATGTTGCAAATATCCTTATCTACGGCGTAGACATAACTAAACTCGAAGCTACTGAAGCGGTGAAACATTGGAAGTACGGGGAAGGGGGTGAAACGATGTTTCACTGACGCCGCCCGGCCTGTGAGACCGCTTGTCACCAGTTAAAGGTTAAAATAAAAAAAAATGTTTTTACTGAGTTTAGTTAAACTACATAATTAGATTCACATCCGTCATATAAAAGGAATTCCACCTTTTCAACTGCGTTGGACGCAAGCCGCTACCAACCGAGCAACATGGAAAGCATTGGGCATTGGGGGAGGCCTATGTTCAGCAGTGGACGTCCTATGGCTGAGTTGATGATGATGATGATGATGAAATCCCGTGTAATTAGGTTTATATTATCGTATATGAACTTTGTGTGTTGATTAATTTGAAACGCAACCAACAATCTACTCTTTTTTTTTTAAATTTATTTAGGAAAACAAACAACTGAACAATACATATTTTTCTTAAGATAGTTCAATAAATATTAAAACTAAGTAATTGGACAGTCAACACCGTTATCCTAGTTTAATAAAATGAACATGCAATGTACGTACCCTACAGATACTTAACTTAATAAATTACCACTAGATACTAATAACAAATGCGAAAGTGTCAACAAAACGCAAAGGCCACTCAATGGACCTTCATGATACCTTACAGAACCAACTGTAAACGATCACGAAACAAAAGAGTACCAACACTGAATCGATATGGTATGGCTTGATATGGTATATCAACTAATTCATTACACTTGCTAAAAATATACTTTGTTTCTGTATAATTAGTTGATATTGCATTTGCATCATAAATTACATAAAATTATGATACTCGTAGTTTGGATTACAAGCTTCAATACTATTTAATCGACTCAATTTACAATATTGTTTACATACGTCTGGGTGGACTTATTAATATTATCAGTTCCTACGTAACCCTAAATAAAAAAATGCACTTATAAATTACATCATACTCCACAATTTTTGAATAATGATTCCGTACGATGGTTGCTATGGTTTTAAATAAATATACAACCTGACTTTAATATTTACCCACTAAAGTAACACGCGCGTTGAACTTTCGTCTAAAGTGACGTTTAGTATGGAAATATCATTTTAAAGTAGTTTTCAACGCGTGTGTAACTTTATTAGTAAAGGGGTTTGAATAGAGAGCTTTGATAAATCTATAAAGACTACATCACATAGGTGATAATGGTAAACAAACCGTTATTTGAAGCGTACTATTAGTAGTATGAATATCAACAAAGTGTACTTGAATACGCCAACAGATCGGAACACGAGTAAATTCGGTCGTTCGCTAATGCTTATCAAACACAGGGCAGGGTAAATCCAGGACTGAGCCATGGAAAACCCACGGAGCAGGGAAAATAACTAAACCAGGGGAAAATACCCAAAGCTCAGAATGGAATGCCTTTGAAAAGAGCCATTCTTAGCCAAGTGTGGTTCTAATGGCTTGAAAAGTCTGACACCGGGAAAACTACAGTATATAATGTGCATAATGTTATTATTTTGTATAAAAACAATAATGAACATGTCATTGTGTCAGAAAATAATATCTTTTTCATTAGGCTTTTTAATTCTTGCAAATTACAACGAAGGACATTTCTATTTTGATCCTGATAACATACTATTTTGTTTTCAGTTTATTTGGTGCAATGTCCACATTTTTTCGGAATGAAAATGAAAATAGACATGTATAATACTGTCATAAAAAGTACGTTTAATAACGTTTGATAACGTTAGTCTCACTATTCCTATTCCCATTTCAATAATACTTTCCTCCATTCACCTGTCTTCTACCACTAACCCTTAATGGCCGACATGTGGACGTTTCCCTCCGCGGGTAAATGGATTATTTGTGAAGAGCTCTAAATATAGGCATGTTTCAGCCACAGGTCGCTCGTGACGTAGGCTGTGACGTCACACCTCACTGTCAGCTGCCATTTAATATTTATTGTGATTTCAGTTGTGTATTTCCTTGGACGATAATAGTGTCATACTCGTATCTTCAAGTATATTCTTTAACGAAAAAATATAGGTGATAGAAATACAATAAATACATACCACCAATCACAAAAAAAAATTGTTCAAATAACGGTTTCAATACCTATTAGTGTATATTGTTAGTGACTAGCGTTTGTAATTAACTGATTATTTTAAATTTTCCTCCAACGATAATAATTTTATTTAAATTAT